TCTCATGTATGTAACATTTCGTACGCAACTTCGACAATTATGTCGTTTAGCCATAGATAAGGTATTGCATGAAGTGACACACGCAATTTCCGTTTGTGAATGTGTAAAGTGCATGTGATTTTTGTCAGTAAATAAAAAAGATATTAAATTTTTTATTTATTTAAATTGATTTTTGTGATTTTAATTGAATTTTATAACAAATCATGCAAAAGTCATTGAGTTGCCAAATACAAACATGTGGACGACAGTGCGTATGAGTAACTTTTCATTTATATTTGAATATGTATGAAGCAAATAAATTTAAATTGTCGATGTCACATGATAGATAAATTTATCATTTATTTATACTAACAAAAGTAAATAAAATTCAAAAATGAAAAAATATTAGATTTAAAGATAAAATGATTTTCTGCTTAATCAAGGAAACTAATATTTTTAGTAATATTTATTGAAAATCAAGTTTGTTGTGAAATGAATTTCCAATTAAGTGTTTATTTTACGATTTAAATATATTAAAAAATGTATTATTTTCACCTGTTAATTCATAACAAAAAATAATCGATATAATTTAAGTACTTACCCACATGCATATTTAATGTTCCCATTATCGAAACAACTTAAAGCACGAGTGTGTGAAACTCGATTTTTCAGTTTCAAATGAGTTTGTCTGACAGAAAGTATAGCATGCTTTTAGAAAATTAATATTTTGTAACACTTTTACATGGACACATATGTCATTTACGTGGTTTTATTTTCTATTTATGACCACACTTTTTATAGGACAACAGGTGAAGTAATTACAATGTTGCCACACATGGTCTTGTAAAAAGCATTTTGACACTAAACATAAAATTTTTCAAATCAAATTAAAAATTCAACAAGTTTATACGAAGTGAGTAATTTGATATATTTTCGTTCTCTTACCTATCGGCTGTTGAAAACGGTGACCTGTGTGTTATTTTCTGTAGTGTACACGCCATCAATTATAGGAGCATTGATTAACTATGCCTTTAGGGATTTTCAGCGAAAGCTGATTTTGCTGAGAAATAGCAAGTTTTGGCATACATCCAATAATATTTTGCTATATTTTTCACGAAAAAAATAAGGGGAAAACTAATAAATAGGAAACAATTGGATAGTTTTTAAACTATTTTTATACTCTTACTCTTTATTAAATATTGTTTTTACCATAATAGGTGCACTTAACCTTCCCATAAATTTATACTTGTTACTTGGCTGCCGTCTAAAATAATAATTGCCTATAATATGTAACAAACTCTTCAACAAGATTTGTTAGAATTGAATATTTTTAGTTGACTTAAATTATTTAATTTTTTAATCAGTAAAAACTATTGTTTACTTTCCATTGTGTTAAGCAAAATCTATATAACTTTATACTCATAAAATATTTTTATCAAAATATTTAATTTTCACTAAATTTAACACAAAAAGTTCTAATATATGCATAAATTATAACTAAAGTGCTATTATAATGCATTTTTAAGAATTGTGATATACTAATACGAATTGTGAGAAGTTTTTGAGAAGTTCGCTAAAAAGCGGTTACAAACCTAAGCTTTCAGCCACGGTTTGAGAGTTTGGACAGTAGAAACTATCTGGTAACTAAATTTGGTAAATATTTTCTAAGAATCATTAATGTGCACTTAATATCTATATAACTCATCTAATATGAGTGATATAGGCAGCAATGTAACTATTCCCATGTATAATATTTGTTTGTTTTATTCTAGTATTTCTTATTGCTTAGTATTAATTAATAAAAAAAGTAAGCAAAAAATACAGTTATATATTTATGTTGTATCGCTTATCAGATCTGAGATAAATCTGTTTGTAGGTTTCTTTCAATTTGTGTAGAAATCTATGTATGTGGTATTGATATTAAAATAAAATGGTTTTGATTGCTTAGAAACTTAGATTAAGTGTTGCAACATATTTTTGATGAATTTTTTAAAGAATTAAATTCAAATTAAATAATTCAAATAGAATAAATAGGCTTCTTTTTAGCTTTATTTTTAATTATTTTATAAAGTTTATTATTGATTTCGACGTGTAATTTTTAACGCACCACTTCTCTTATATTATGTATATCTGTTATTAGTATTAATATACTTTTTTCTTTTTTTATTTTTATTTTTAAATATATTATTATTTAATTCTCATATCCTTTTTCACGGTTTTCTGATTTTTAAATTTCTTCATCATTATAGCATTATATTAGTTATTATAATCACGTTTATTTTTGCGAATCACATTTAAATTTCAATTAAGAAAGACAACTTTATAGTTATTGTTTCAAATAATCGAATTAATCTATCTATCTCTTTTATGTACTCTTTGTTAGGATCATTGTATTATAAAAGCATATTTGTAATAGCGATAAAATAATAAACTTTTACTTACTACTACTTACTAAAATTTAATATGATATAAATATATTATCGATGCTTTAATTTTTTTTTGCTGTGGGTGTTTAGAGCCGAATATAAGTAATAATTTACAGCCAATTGATTGTAAGTCTAGTACCACACGCTATCACAGTTCTTTGTATGATTAGTGTTGAGCTTAGCACTACTATCACAAATATGCAATTGTCTGCTTTTTCAATATCAATTCTAGAATATTAGATATTTCTCATACCCCATGCGCTTTAAATCACATTGCGGTTTAGCGGTTTAGTTTTCTTATTGCTTTTCAGTGATAGTTGTCTTTAACGCTTGTTAATTGCAAAAGTGATATTGGAATAATGACACTGTAGAAGTGATACTGAAATAGTGAGGTACATGCGTTATTGGGAACCACTACGGTAAAAATATTTAGTTTTATTTTCAAATTTTTCACAAAGACCTTATAAATCTTTGAGGTGGTTGTTTAAGTTTTTCATCAATACATTATAAGGAGAGGTTTTTAGTTCATTATAATGTGAAGTGTGACTTTAGAATAATTATAATAAGTTTTATGACTAAGCAGATAACAATTAATATACAATAGCTTATGTTTGTGTTTATTTTCGAAAAAGTGAGGGTGTAGCCCTTGTTGCAGCATAACGCAACATAGACTTGTGAAAAGATTTTGTTATGTTTTGTTGATAATCATTTACATTTTTTATTCACAGAATAGTTTTTTATATATTTTTAATCTGGCTGTAGATCTCTTCAACTCTACTTTGTTCTATCGTCTATATTGTACATAGAATATTTATTATGATGTCATTATTGACTTGTAGGACAATCATTTTTTTTACTTTTACCTGAACTGCCATAAAAACATCAGAAAATTTTTGTTGACCTAAATTGGCAAATAAACTCCATGCAAATTATTGGTAGAGGCTACTGAAGTGATCATTTTCTACTGTGGTTTTAGTATAACATTTGAAAGATATCAATAACTGCGATTAATTGATTGTTTAATTAAATTAAAAACTTTTTACCTAAACCAAATAAATTATTTTTCAGTTTTCGTTTATAAAACATTTTTAAAATTAATTTTAATTGATTTCGACAAGTGTGATTTATTGATTGTTTAACTAAATTCAAAATAATTATCAAAAAAAA